GGTTTGCAAAAACAAACATTGAATCAATTTTTTTAAATTTTTACATTACGCGCTTTTCAATTGTTTTTATTTTATACATTTGGACTTTAAGAGAGCGAAAAATATATACGTGAAATACTATATACCAAATACCAACTTCAAAATCTTCTTTAATTTTAAAGAAGAGAAGTTTATTTAATTACATGTAGGATAGTTTAGTTAAGCCTAAGACATATTTTGCGCTGGTTGCGGCTATGTACAGGATATAAGTGTGAGTAAGTGTAAGTGTATAATCTGTCATATCTTTCTTCGTATGTCTACGTTTCTTTGAACAATTTGTTACGACAACAGGGTACAAAATTTGTGTAGCAGCGAAGAGTAGTCAAAATGTCAGTCAAAAGCAACAATAAGTGATCTGGGCCATAAAGTATGACGTGCCTGGAAATGAACTCCACACATACATAGACACAACTATTCATAAACTATGCTGCACACAAATATATATACATATATGTATACATATAGACATATTTGGTTGGGCAATTTTTCGTTGCCTTTTGTAGATTTGAAATTGCATAAATTATTCTCGGACTGGCGCCTACGAGACGCATTTCATGTGGCACGTTGCACATACGCCTAGGCAGCAGGCGCATTTTGCAGCCGCTGACATTTTGTGGCAGCCACAAACAGAACAGAAAAAATAGGCTAAAAGAATAAAGAGTGCAGCAATCAATCTTCAAAGTGTCAACACTTCCAAGAGTGTCAACTAACGTGCAAAAATATTCGGACTGCATTGAGAACTGTGTCCGTGGAATCCAGTTGTGCCACCCGTTGAGATTTTTTTTGTTGCTTTTTCCGGAAAATGTGCACAGTCGGCGACGGCAGCAGCTTGAAACGGAAATGTTCAGAAGGCTGTAGCATGTCGCTGACAAGAATGGCCGACAACAAAAAAAGCTTTTCAAGCACTTTTGACCAGTTTAAAAAACATTAATTTTAATATATTTTGAAAAATAAGAGAAAACCCCTATTAAATTGCCAGCAAATGTCTGTGCAAATGTTTGCAAACATATTTATCTATATGCATTCCAAATTTCAGCTCCAATTCACGACATATGCGCGCCATAATAGCCAGATGAACGTGCCCCATCAATCATTTAAAAAAGAACTTATTTTCTTGTTTAAAGTTCGCCTTTTTTCCAGACTTTTATTTTCGCAAGAGGACTGCAAAGACAAAGATTGATTGGCATGTACGACCAAATGCCCAAAATTCAAACTTAGTGAGCACTATAATTGCAAATACCCTAACTGAATAGGAAAAGGATTATATGATCATATATGATACTTTATGCAATTAATTTAAAACTAATACAAATTGATATACATTTTTACCATTGCAAGTTATTTGCTCATTTATATTTATTTTTTTGTTTGGATACTTTTATATTTATTTAGTTATGCCAACAGCTTCCGGTTCACGTCAACAACTAAATAAATTAAATAATTTACTTGCATATTTAAACAATAATTTTGCTTATAATTTTCTTTGTTCTTTCTATTTGTTCGTCATTCAAATTGTTCATTAATTTTATTCATAATTTTATTCATTCGGTGTATTTAAAAATATTGTTAATTATTTATTCGTATTATTTATTCTTATTATTTTGTTAATATTTATTATGCTTTATTATCTCATTTTTTTAGTTAGCATTATTTAATTTAATGATTTATTATAACGATTTATTATTATTATTTATTATGTTATGCTGTAACTATTATTAGTATTATTACTATTATTATTATTTACTTTTAAATATTTTATTTACACAATGTTGATTTTTAACCAATTTCTGACATTTTGTATTTTACCATTTTATAAAATAAATATATAAATAATTATTTTTAAATTGTTTTTAAAATTATTTTTTTATTGATTTAGTTTTGTTGTTAAATTATTATTTTTTTTATTATCGTTTCTTAAATTTAATTTTTCGTTATTTCGTTTTCACTTTCATTAATTTAATTTAATTGTTTTGTCTATGCGTCTATATACTAGATTTATAATATATTTATATAATATATTTTATTATTAATTTTTAATTTAAGCAAGAGTTCGCTTACAATTCATAATTTATAATCCCATATACCATTTATCCTTTTATTGTAAAGAGTTGAATAAGCAGCAAAATTATAAACGCGATCTTTCACGCTTTATCATCAATATGGGACTCCACCCCATTAAATGAAGAGGGTATCGCAGTACGACAACAACAATTAACAGATGTGCCATCAAAATGTGAAGCGTAATAAATGATGAAACAAGTTGACTTAAGTCGCAATGAAAACACGCTGTAAACTACCCGAACCAGACTCGAAATTTTCCTAGCTGGGCGTGTTTTTTTCGTTTTTCTTTTATTTTGTTAATTATAATTATAGCTGATTAAAAGCTGAGACGAGTTCGGGTTTGTGGAACACGCTAACTACAAATCCCACCCGAAAGAAGAGTGAATGTTGACAGCTGACGGGGACTCTGTCCTTTGAAAGGACCCGCAGGCAGTCAATGATATGCGCTGATTAAAAAATCAGCGATGCGGCTTAGGAACAACCCTTTTAGGAATCAAGTTGCCAATTGCTGAAATGATTAACAAGTTGACTTGTGTTAATTATTATGAAACCGGTTTCATTTTGATGGCTTAATCCTTTGGGCAAACAATGCGTTACGGCTAAGGACAAGCAGGAGGTACGAGATTTCCCTCTGCCTGGCACTGCAATCAGTGCAATTGCCAAAAGGTATTCGAGTGCGCGTTGTTTTTTTTTTTTTGTTTGCTATATCAAAAGTTTTTCGAATGGTAATCCCAACAGTTGCCGCCTAACCCATCTAAACTTGGGCTGCCAACTTGTCTGGGACAAGTTCGGACCCAGAAAAACTTTATCTTATCTGTGCACCAAAAAATAACTTTTAAAGCCCTTGAAATTGCAGCGGCGAGCAACTAGCATGATGCCCGCGTGAGGGTGGAGGCTTTGGGCTCTTTAAAAACTTTTGGCCATGCCAATGCCCTCCTTCCACTTTCCAAATGGCAAATCCTAGACAGTTAGTCATGGCAGGTTTATACAAATTTAATACGCCAACGCTTCGGATTCAGTTTTGGTTGCAGCTTCGGTTTCGGTCCGGGTCCGGGTCTGGGTCTGGGCGATTGCATGGCATTTTGAATGGCATTAAATATTTATAAATTCAATACAAAATGCAATTCGAAATGCATGCCAAGCGGCAGACTGCCAAAATCGACCGAGAGGGAAAGAAAGCACGCACAAATAACAAAAGAGCGGGAGCGGGTCCAACAAAAAGAAAAAATTGAATTGTAAAGTTTTTAAAAGCAGCGCTCCAGACAAATGCTGAGCTGGGCAGCTGGGAGCCACATAAGTTGGCCAGGGATTCAGCTGTTACAGATAAAGGTACACAGATCCACAGATACTTTCGCAGTCAAAAGATATGCACAGCGACAGGTAGTCGCAAATATTTTGCTATTCTTATGCACAGCAAGGCCCCCTCCCCCCTCACCCGCACCTCACTCCTGCCATTATAGTATATGCAATTGCTGTTGTGTGTGTCCTGCGAGTGTGTCTGCCGCCATAAAATATTCAAAGTGAACTCCAAAGGTTTGCATTTTGCTATCTGCATATATAAGAGTAAGCGGGCTAGCTGTACCTTTTTATGATTTTATGTTGCTGCTGCGGCTGCGTCGACAGCAGCTAATTGCCACTTGAGCAACTTGTGCGGTCTGTTCGATAGCTGTACGTACAGTTCAATATCCGCTCTACACAAAGGCAGACATATCAACAACAATAACAACAGCAAAAAAAAAATAATAATAACCGCAGCATAATATCAAAACAACGTGCAGTTGAAAATTGCCTCGCCTAATTCCTTTGGTGGACAACACACACACACTCGAACACACACTCACACACAAAATATGCCGACATTGGCATAACAGAAAGTGTAAACAGTAATCTAATACAGTAGCCACATAAGAAGCTGCAACAAGTAATAAGAGCACATCGAAACTTAGATACTCTGGATACTTCCGCGATTCGAACCGGCAACCTTCTTTATCCACTGCTATTATAGTATTATGGATTCATCTCTATTTTAATAAGCTCAACCCTATAAAGTCTTTACTTAAAAGCTTAGAATTAATTTCTTACATAATATCGTAAGGTCTTTCTTTATTTATACCCTATTTATACCATAAATCAATTAAATACTCATAGAGAGAATATATCTTTTAAAATATTCAAAACTCTCTCACTTGAATGCTCTTACATTAAACACATAATATATTTTAAAAGTTCATAACTTTAATTAACTATTATTATATACCCCAACGAATGCTCTATTTTCTTTTCATATCTGCGCACTTCTCACAACAAACTGGCATATTTTATCTGTTTTATGTGACACCTAAAATATATTTGTATATATATGAAAAAATAAAGAAGAAAAAAACGTAGCCAGCAATTTTCTTGTACTGCTTTTCTAGTTAATTTTGTCATTTCCTTTGCTGTTGAACAACATCTGCAAATTATCTGAAGTTTTGCGCTATGCAAACAATGCCACAACAAGCCGCCCCACCCTCTCCTCCCCTGCCCCACGCTATAAAAGCCATATCCATGCCCTGTCCCAAGACCGTATCCAATTGCTAGTTTGTCAAGGCAGGCAGTTTTTTCTTTCTATACTCGACATCTTATCACATGTGTGTAGTTTTCCAAGAACTGAAAACCCAGCGAATTGGCCATTTGTGAATGAATGCAACAATCAGAAATGTGAATAAGTGTGAGTAGCAAGTGAATGAGTGTGTACAAATAACCAGAGACAGCTAAAGTCGCAGCTACTGCTGATTAATGAGAAAATAGCGCGAAAAATAAAATATTTCCACTTATTCAATTTAAGTGTTTACAGCTAGCATTCGATTATACATAAAGGGTGTAGTATACATTTTATAGATTTAACAGCAATAACTCACCTTAACTTGATAAGAATTCAAACGCGTCTTTGGCAGCAAGTTGAATGATGAGAAATCCAAACGACGTGAGAAGATACCGTTGCAACCAGAGGTGGAGCTGCAAATGGAAATAAAAGCAAATGCGATTTAGAAACAAAAACAAATAGATATATACGAGAAAGTAAGGATATATTCGACCAAAGTTTTAATACCCCTACAGATATTTGACGATATGTGTTTAATGAAAATATCTTGGAAAACAGAACACCTATTCAACCGATCGTTTCCATGGCAGCTATATGATATAATTACTCGTGCCGGCCATTTCTGACACATGTACCACTTGCAACAGAAAAACGAACCCAAGCTAAGATTTTAAGACGATAGCTTTATAACTGAGGAACTGGTGCGCATTTCTTGACAAAATCATAATACACTCTACAAGGATATACAGATGTAGCCGTATGCCATACTTGAGGCAAACCACAGAGTTATGATTAATTCCAGATGATAATGTGAGGTATCATAGTATCAATGTGCTATTATTATTTTTTATTATTTCAGCACATTATGCAGGGTATACATAATATGCTTATACAACATAAATAAATATATACATTGCATATTTTATGACAGCATTTTTCTTCTCACAATATTCTTACGCTGCTCGCATCATGAAATTGCATATCGAATATTGACAGCTGACAGCCAACGGAAATTGCATATGGGTTGTTGCACAAAGTGACGTCTCAGCCAGATAAAGATTTCCTTTTTGCCATGAAGCACACGTAGCTCGATATGAGACCAACGACAAGCGGTGCCTCGCCCCAAACGCCAGCAAAAGCTATATATGTATATACCTATACAATGCTTGGGTTTAGTTCAGGTAATACGTGCCGTTTTAAACTTGGCCGAAAGGCACAAGAACAGCTGTTAAATATGAGCTAAGCGTTGCCAAAAGGGAAATATTTGTCAATGCATATCACAAAACTAGATTATCTACGCTTAATTTAAGACATTTTTTGTGCTTGCGTCATTTGAAATTCTTAAATTATATTTCATATTTAAAAAATAAATGGCAGAAAAAAAAGGAAAGAACAATTAGGTAATCTAAAGTAAAGCAAATATCGTAAAAGTTTTATAAATAAAACAAAAACAAACAACTGAGTCAAAATTAAAACAAATAAAAATACAAAGCAGTTGTTGTTGTTGTAGGTTTTGTGCTTTGTCACGGACATTGGAAGAATTTTATTGTTTTTTTTTTCTGATGTGTATAATGCCCAAGCAAATAAAGTTATCAACAATACTCAATAAAAAAAAAGCAAAACAAAAAATATGTGCAAAAATATACAATAAAAAAAAGACAAGCAAAGAAATAAACAGAGGGAGAGTATATAAAAAATAAAAGCGGAAAAAAAGAAATTTCGAGAGCAAAACAAACGAATTTCTTGTTGTGAATGTCTCGGCTGACCTTGACATTGAATAGATTAAAATATTGTTTTTGTTGTGCAAATATTATTAACGCAACAATTTAATGTGTTATCTTTAAGTCAAGCGAGAGAGAGCACGAGAGAGAACACACAACCTTCTATATAGCAGCAACCGCCCTCCGCCCACCCACTGAACTTGAACCGAGCAACGCCCCTTATCGAATTAGCGCAATAACAATTACGTCCACTAGAGAGCCGAGACTATTTTTAAACACTCAACTTTAAGTGCTGCAAAACGATTAACGCTATATATGGACACATACACATACATGCATAACTATATGTGCATGCATTTGACATCTATTTGAATATTGGAAATAGTAAACAACTCGAACGCTTTTCTTTTTAGTCACCCGTTTTTGTTGGGGATCAGCTTTGGGCCAGTCATCGCATACCCTTAACAAATATCAATTACCTATCTAATATTTTAAATTAAGTATTTGATATGGTTTCCTATAAATATACATAGGATTAATTTGTAATATACAATGAATCATCTATGTACATATCTATCTATCATATCTTAATTCGCTCTTCAAAAACTTTAGAAATAGTAATCTTATTATTTGCCTATTCTATAGAAATATATATTCTAGATTTTATACGAAATGTATACAAAATTTTAACATGATCAAATTGTTGTCTAAGTTATCCAAGCATTTTTCGATAGGCCTTGAGGCAGTTAATACTGCATTTTATGTCTATCTTATTAATTACAGGGTATAGAACCAGCGCACACTAGAGCTTTCTGTTTTCTGTATATATATCAAATATAATATATATGTTATTTATATTTACACCTTTTTTCGTACCTCGATTATATAACACAAACAAGAGCACAAAAAAAAAAAAACAAATAAATTAAAAAGAATACCAGACCGAATGTCTACGTGACCCTCCCACCTCCCCCTTTCCAGATCAACCCCTTCGTAACCAGCGATCGCTGCTGTTGAACAGCAAAAATTAGTCATATGCACGCTTATCAACGCGCTTAAAGCGAAATTGTAATTTATTTTTAAACAATTATACAATGAAGGCAATTTCGCGACGATGCTTAATTACATCATGACAACTGAGGAGAGTTAAAGAACTTTTTATTTTATAAAAAGTGAAATTAAAACAAAAATTTAAATTATTAACTAAAGAAAAGAAAATACTTAAAAAAAATAAAATTAAAAATATAGAAAGACAAAGCAAAGGCAATATACTCTAATTAAATATATAAATAGATTAATTTAACTAACAAATAAATCATATATATTATATACCTTTATTATGAATAACTACAAAAATATTATTTAAGATATATATATAAAAATAATATAATAATTATAACTAAATATATAATTTAATTAGTATTAACTGATAAAATGAGCAAACAAAATTAAATTATTTGATATTTATAATATAATTATTTTTGACTAAGAAAATACAAATACAAAAAAATATATGATAATGAAAATATTATAATCCTATATTAATAAAAGGTAATTGAGGCATGTGTGCCAAGCCACATAATAATTGATTAAGTGCCCATTGACTACATTTAAGTTAATTGATCTTTAGTCGTACCCTTAACCTAGTAGTAATACCCATAACTGGACTGGGTCAGCGCAATCAGGCACGCCCATAACAGAGAGCGTGCGAATTTGTAGCAAAAGCGTTTTGGCCTTCTTTTTTTATTTATTTAACTCGCTGTTAATTGACTCGCTTGCCAATTGAAATTGGTAATGCAGCTGCCCGTTGCCAAAATTCATACATTCATTGCGTTTCATTTTGCCTTTCTTTTATTTTTTGGATTTCTTAAATGTGTTTTATTGTTTATTAATAAAAGCGCGGCCGATGTGCATATGGCTAATGAATTTTAATGGCTGTGCTCTCGGCTTAATTTTTATATATATTTTTTTTCTTTTTCGGGGGTTCCGAACGCACGTGCGTCGCTGATTGCCAATTTTTTTGGTGTTTTTTTTTACTGTGTCTGAGTGCTGACTGTTAATTAAAAGCTGTTTGAATGGTTATTTTATTCATTGGCATATCGCAAAGGTAAGTGGGTAGCATATACACTCACATTTATATAGCGTATATACTCCATTTAAATGCCAAGCACCCGCAATAAGTAGAATAGGCTCCAGCTGAGCGAGCTGTAATTTATAGGCGACGAGCAACAAAACTTCGTCTTGTCAAATTGGAGTTGGCACTGACGTGCCCAGCCCCGCCCGCCACACCCCGCCCAATCATCTCAAGCAACTCAGAACAAAGGCTAAATTAGAATATTAAACAACATATAACACACCAGTATATACAAGGTTTTAGCTTTATATTTTTTGGGCCTTTGTTTGGTTTTATTTTGGTTCCGAGCAGCTGACTTTGACCTTGCTGGAAATTCCATGTACAACTTGTGTTGTGCATATACTTCACAGCCTATATCGGGGCATTATAGCTAGGCCATGACTTTTGTTTCGGGTTGCTTTTTTTATACACTAACAAACAATGAATATTCTGAAATTAAAGAAATGCTGTTGTTGTTGCGTCGATTTGCGCTGTGGCTGTGTCATAATCTATGTGATCGAGTTTTTTTTTGCTGTCTGCGGTCTTTGCCTGGGTGAATGTGAGTTGCGCTTAATCGGAAAGTTCACTTTAGGCTAAAACAATTCTGACAGGGTCTGAAAATAATCACTTTTGGATAGTGTTACGCATCGGTTATATGACGCACCTTATTGGCACCGTTTTCCTGCTCATGGGCATCATTTTAGTAAGCCCAAATATTCAATAAATATATATTATATTTACTGATTGAAATAAAATAATACTTTTAGAAATCACCTAGCTTTTTCATGGTTTATTTGGTAACCAATGGCATACACGTTTTTACCAGCACCACATACCTCATTCTCTGGGCTTTACGATGTGTTCGATGTATCTATGTTGTTACATTGTCAACTTTTGGAATTTGTATGTATTTTACATATACTCTGAATATTTATATACTTCTATATCTTTTCAGTGTGTAGCATTTACTTTTGGTTAATTGTCTATTCATTACGACTCAAATGTAAATGGGAACAGTCAATAGACTATGATGGTTCGGCTTTCTAAGTGTATATATATTACATATATTAAGCTCATCTTCTTGGTTAAAAAGTTTTTTTAATCCAAAATTCCAAATTTCTCACATCTTATGAGCAAGCATCCTGAATATATCATTATTTACAAAATAAAAAAAAATAATACAACAAATTAAAAAAAATATAAATACATATATGTATATATATAATAAAAATAATAATAATCATAATAACAAATAACTATTTTTCATAAATTTGTTAATTTGTTCAACCTTATAATACAAATATTTGAATTATATTAACTTGTTCTAGAAATTTTTAAAATGTTCTAAGAGTATTTGAAAGTCGCCTTTTTTACTTTATGTTATTTTCTTTACATATTACTTTAGCAGCTTTTATTTTCGGTGAGTTTGCTTTCTGACATTGTTTTTCTTTGTTTTTTTCGGCCAAATTGCTTGTTGTTGTTATTTGAACTGCTCTTGTGTACTCTTGTCCATAATTTCACACTAATTTGTAAATTTGCTTTTAATGCCAAAAACAAAGAGTAAAATGCTAGAAAAAAATAAATAAAATGTCTGTAATTTTTTGCCAACTTGTTTGTCTACGAAACAATCTCGACTTTGCTAACCTGCAGCTCAAATCAAATTAAATGCAAAAAAGTGAGGCGAAAAATGCGAAATGAATTGCAAGCAATAAGAACCAAAACGAGAGCGAGTTTTATTGTTGTTGCTGCATTTGTTGTTGCATTGCTTCGAATCACTTCATTCCGTTGCAATTTTCAATCACGTGCTAAGTGCTGCCAGACATAGCAGACACGAGAGACAATTTGTCTGCAGCGTTAGCATGCAACATGAAGGGGCAGCAGCAACAGCAACTACAACTATAACAACAACAACAACAACTAGTGCTCTTCACCATGGCAATTGCTGCATAATTTCTGTGCTCAAACAAAGGCAGCAAAGCGTAGAGCGAGTGGAGCTCGGATCCTCGTACAAAATCGAGTGGCAACTATTTGCCCTATCACGTACAAATTAAAAATGTGAAATGCTTCAATTTAGTGCAAGCAATGCGCTTGCAACACAAACACAAACACACACACACACACACACACACACACAGGCAGACACACAAAGCAGTTGCAACAGCAGCAAAATGCTCTTTACAACGGGGCGTATGAATTGTGGAGCATCAAATAGATTGAGTTGCAAACTTGTTGTCGTTTGCTTCCGATATTTAGCTTTGTCAAGAAATAGATAAGTGCTCGACTAGCAGATACCCTATATACCAACATAAAGTTGCCTTTACTTCATGTGCTGCTAATTATAAATATTTTTAAGCTCTAAATACATTTTTCTGCCTATAGCAGTCCGTTGCTCGACTAGTAGATACCCTTTATTCCAAGCTAAAGTGACCTTCAACACATGCACTTAACTATGAACATTTTTAAGTTCTTAATTTTCTGTTATATTCCGTTGCTTAATGCCTATATACCCTTTGTCTTAAATCCTAATGCGTACGTATTAAAATGTTTAATTTATGCAAAATAACTTAAACGTGCGACAAAATATGTTTAATATTATGTTAAAATTGACAAAAATAGTTTCAAATCGTCTACCAAAAGCGGCTGTCAATAAATTTATCTGTTTTTTATGTCAAAAACGCTTTACTTTTGACTATTTTTTTGGCTCAAATTTTGCATTATTTTCAAACTAATTTGAGAACAAACGAGTTTTTATACATGCATACATAATTATATATAAAGCCATTTTTCAATATGTATGTCATACCTTAGTTTTAATATTTTAATTAGGTCTGTTGTCAGGCAAACGAATTGATTTTTTGTTTATTTTCCAATTATTGACTATTCGTATGCCTCTTCCGTTTGCCAATACAAGCGATCAATATAATAAGCTGGCCGACTTGCATTAAATGCCAAAAACGATCAACCTTAATAACAACAGGCGCCAACTGCCATGAGAAACCTATTGAATTTGTCAAATAACTTGAATTGTTGATATTTTTGATCATTTAATTGCAGTTGTTGTTGTTGTTGCTGGGCCACACCTAGCCATAAATATCGAAATACATATAAATAAATACCAAATAGTTGGGGAGGTACATAATTTTCGTGCATTTGCCGCAACTCACGTTTTTCACATCAATTTCGCGACACAACCAAAACCAAAATTCAAATTTAAATTCAAATTCAATTTTCTATATGCGCTGTCTAGTGTACACTGTGCATATTTATATATTTATATTTTTTTGTTAGTTGCAATTGCAATTGGCTTTCCATAGCTGGTTATTGATTAAATTTGCCACTTGGGCTACTTGGTTAGACAGAGCGGCAGCCGGTAAGTCCACGCCCCTAAAATCTAGACAGCCAGCCTCAGGCTTGAACTTTTCAAAAGGCACACACATTCACACACACACTCGCTCACACAGTAGGCTGGAGAGCAACAAAGCATAAGCTACCTGCCAATTTGTAGCCTCCAGGAAAAGCCAAAACACAAACAAAACTTCAGAAACTGAATCATTGTGATTGCGAGGAAGCGATTTATTGGATTGCCCATTCGAAATGGCAAAGTTGAAGCCACAACGAAAAAATAAAAACAAAACTGCAAATAATTTATCTCTAATTTACTTTTTACTTTCATTTCGCTCACAACTCTATTTTAGTCGTTATTGTGGGTGCAGTCTGAGAAATACAAATTTAGATAAACATTTTCATATTTAGTTTTCCGCAAGCTCAAGCTAAGCTACAGAAAGAAGTTACGCACTGCAAATTTTTGGCAATTTATTAAGATTATGTCGAATTTAGCTTATCGGCTTTTTGAGTAAATGGAAAGGAAACGTTGGCTTACAACAAAAGTGCCAAACATATACAAATTATCGGTAATTCAATACGAAAAACAGCGTAGACTGAAAACGGCAAACTGGCAATGTACAACATTTAAATGTGGTTTTATGAGAACTGACAGCTTTTTTAATGCCAATTGTCGATATTTGTTGAAGTGCATTAATTCAGAAATCCGAGAACCGATAGTTTTGATACTATTTTCAAGCAAATGTCATTGATATGCCAAAGTCAACAGTTTAAATATTTAAAATTTTCGAAGGTTTTCCACAGATTGTAATGCTGATAGTATCGATAGTTCGTAGTTCCAAAAGTTCGATATTCATCAGTCGAGAGTTTCGATATTTTACAAATTTTGTCGATGCCAATTTCAATAGTTAGTGGTAGCCGAAAATCGATGAGTTTGAGCTCTATCTCCGTAGTCGCTACTTTCAATAGCTGATATACCTTGTAAACGATATTTGCGATAGTCGATAATAGGCACATAAAGTTACTCATATATAAATTAATAATTATTGCAATAGTTTATTAGGCCCAATATTTGCAATGTACCGAACCCATTAAAAAGTAGTTTTAAATGTCGTTTAATTGCTCAACGAGTTTAGCGTGTCTATTTAGTTCGTTATAGCGGGTGTTTACTGGCCAACATGAATAAAATAGGCGAAAACACTTTTAAGCGTTGCTCTCCCACAAACTGACCGCAAATCGCCAGAGCATCGAACACGAAAATCGGCGTCGACTGCAAATTGATTAATGGCATTAAATGCATTCAACAATTTCCACGCGGCAGCAGGCAGCGGACAGCAGCAACAAGTTTTTAATGTGTAATGTGAGACCAAATGTTTGTAGTCGAGTGTTTGGTTTGTTGGCTGCCGATCTACGCTTATTAATTGCTGTTGTTGCTTTGGCCCAATATGGCCATTTGGCTGGCCGTTTATCCCATATCAGATCGGTGCAATCTTCAGCAGATATCAAATTGCGGCAACAGCTAACAAAATTTGTGGCCATTTCGCAAAATTTGCGCGCAATTAATTGCGCAAATTGTAGTCCAACAACAGTGGACCATAATTTACATTGAAGCCATGAACAAATGATCGATAGGAATGTGTTTATAAAAGAAATTTATGCATTTCTTGGCGCTGCCACAGATACAAATTTATGCATGTATTTAGCTTGACTGTCGCCGCAATCGTGTCTTGCTCAAGCACAAAGGCGGGCAATTAATAAATATTGTATAATAGTAAAAACAATACAACTAATAATATTGCATTTTTTAAAGACCAACACACGAGCTAATTAAATGCGCCCGCAACATACCACAATTGCTAAGCGGCCCACATGACGACAAGCACTTATAAACAATAACAAATGAGAAGAAATAATTATTTTTCGGCTTGTCGAAGATCAAATACCCTAGTAGAAATACGAGGACGGTAATACTATAATAGTCAGAATATAGTCATCTGATTCGTATGTATATAATTTAAGGGCTGTTTCGATGCGTGGCACACTGCATCACACAATTGTTATACTCTAGGCAAGTGTATGACAAAGAGAAAAATGCACTTGAATCACAATAGCGAAACATAAATCATAGCTAAAAGGCCATGTCAGATGAGATCAGTTCCAGCTACAATATGGTCTCTTAACACACCAGCTCTCTGACGTACAACAATGACAACACGCACGGGCCAAGGAGCAGCCCAGCCCCAGCTGCCCAGTTGCAGCTCCAGCGCTGAACTTTAAGCCCAGTAGCCAAGCAGGCGGCAAGGCAGGCGTGTGCCAGCCAATTGGCAATTGGCATTCGAAATGCAACAGAAAAACGTGAATGTCATTAGAGTCAATTCCAAGTTGATGAGCGAGATTCAAAGCGAATCGAGTCCGCGTCTAGCAAAGTTGTGAGCGGATTTAAACTAGTTCTGAATGCGACAGGCGACCTGGGTGCGGTGGTCAGGCACACGAATTCAAACTTTAAGCACAAAAAAAATAAATAAATAAAAACCAACCTAAACCAAATAAGCACAGCGACAGTTAAAGTTAACATTCGGTCTCTTTAACGTTTTGGGCCGAAAGTGCAAGAAACTCATAAATTAGACTGATTGTGGAGCACACACAACACACAGCTGCTGTCAGACGGGGATGCACGTTGTGCGGTCAAATAAATAGAAAATTAGCCAGACATTGGCCAGTCGAGCCAAGCAAAAAACGTACAAATAATGCGGCAATATGTTGCTGCTGATGCTGCTGCTGCTGCCATAGCTGCTGCTGTTGTTGTTGCTGCTGCTGCAACATAA